CTCCCAGCATGCATCTCGGTTGCGCAGACCTATCTTCCCCATGACCTTACCCGGGGTACACCACGCCTAGGCTCAATGTACCCCGGGTACCTCAGGCCTAGGGGTACACTGAGCCTAGGCGAGTTGTACCCCGGGGGACAAAAAGCCTAGGCGAATTGTCCCCTGTCTTGAAAAAGGGGGATACTTCTCGCCTAGGCGCATTGTACCCCGGGGGATACATTGCGCCTAGGCGAGAATATCCCCCTTTTTCGAGCCGGGGGTACAATTCGCCTAGGCTTTTTGTACCCCGGGGTACAACTCGCCTAGGCTTAGTGTATCCCCTAGGCCTGAGGTACCCGGGGTACATTGAGCCTAGGCGTGGTGTACCCCCGGGTACCTTGGTCCTGGCGAGATGTACCCGAGGGTTCCCTGGGCCGGGGGGGTACACTTATCCGCCGACACCGGCGCGCGCTGCAGGAGCTGCTGCCCGTCATCAAAAAATCGCTCGATTTGTTGCACAAGTCAGCCCGTCGTCGCACGCGCTCTCCAAAGGCCTGCGCTGGAGACGATGTGAGGCTAGCCTGACTGCCGGAGGGCGCGGCGCTGACTGCATCCCGCGCAGATCGCGTGCCCTTGGAGGCTGTTGTCGGCGAGAGCGGTGTAGTGGGGGTAATGAAACAGAAAAACCCCATAGAACGTTGCAAATTGGGTTTCAAGCAAGCCACTTTGCCACTCTTCTATTGACCCAAATGGTCGATTTGGCCCGAAGCACACGTCAAAATTTCCCTTAGGACTCAAATGCGGGGGCGTTAAAGGGTTTAAAAATGTTCAAAATTTTCGAAGTTTCAATTTTGACAGTTAAAATCGTGCGACGAGTGGTTTCCCAAAATTTGAGGTCGGGGGAAATTTATTGGCGATGTCAGAACAACGATGAGGTCACCGGAAGTACCGGAAATAGCCGCCATTTTGGGGTACTGGCGGCCAAATTTTTCGGATTTCGAACGGCTCCGCAACCATCGTGTTGGGTGTCGTTCTGATAGTTTTCAGGGGTCTCTGAAGGCCACTGTGATGTCAAATTGAGAGTATTTAGCAGAGAAATACAGAAAAACAGCTTCTCAGCTGTGAAAAAATGAATCGGGAAAGATGCAGTGCTTTCCCCGGATAAAGTGAAGGAAAAAGCAGTTTCTCTGCTTTGGTAAATTTTAAAATGTTTGATGCGCTGAAAGACGTCTGTTTAAAAGTAAATATACTCGCATTTTAGGTCCAAAATTAATTTGTAACTGTCATATCTCGATCTCAAAATCTTGAAAGTATGTGAAGAAATCAAGATAGCAAACTACGTCAAGAAGAACCCAATACGAGAAGTGAGTGAAGGACAATGACCCTGCAAGTTCTATTGCGTGCTTGGCACACTTCTGTGCCGATGATCTTCGAAGGACAGTTCCATGGGCATGAAGCAATAAATTTGCTTCGCTTCAAATAGGACCTTACATCTGAAACCAGATAGCCGTAACTTGCCTCGATTAGGTATCATAACGTTATTGTAAGCAGTGAATCTTGACGGAATGTATACTTGACAATTAAATTTCCAGAGACGTGTGCTCTGAGAAGCAGTTTTATAGAGTTAATTTGATAAGGAAACGGTGTTTATGCCGTGCGTCTAAGAACACTCCTTGTCGATGAACTGTGTAGAGATGTACTCCCGTCTTGAAGCGCAGACAGACGTGTACTGGACTAAGTAGGCACACTTACTCTTATCGGTTTGTTCTTCGAGATTCATACAATCGTATGGACCAAGCACAAAGTGGATCTTGCGGTTTATGCGTTACCAAAAATGTTTAAAACACTTCAAACTGTTTTTTCCCGCAGAAAAAATCTTTAGTAACTGCCAAGCGGGTAACAAAATACCAAATTTCAACCTCCTATTTTTGCGGTATTCTCCTCTGGAAGTTCAGCAGACTGGAACATAGCAGCGTGAAAGACCAGCAGCAGCAATGCAGAGATTCCTGTTGCACATCCCTGCGACAATCGCACCTATCTAATGCCCGCAAAGCGTTTCAGATATCCTGCAACGTGCACCAAACGATTTCCAATTGCCTGTTTGCTGAGGTCCGCCCTCATATCTCTGGAAAAGGCCGGTGTAGGCCAATGATCAATTTCCCGCCCCGTAAACTATCAAGCAGTGCACGATGCTGTACGGATGTGTTACCTCCTATGTTTTTAGTGAAGAAAGAAACGATATGTTAGCCTTCTGACTTACTTGATCTAAAACGGAGTACTATGATTCCATGCGGATTGAAAATGTGTGCTCGTCACTATACCCTTCAAAGTGTACTCAGGAGAGCATCCCCACAAAAGTATACCCAGCACACATCAGATCATGTAACTGATTTTCTAAGTGTAATAATGAACTAATTTAAAAAGCAATAACATTTTTATTGCATGAAAAGCGCCATGAAAAAGTAAATGTATTACTTGTGCTATAATTATTGTATTGCATTAGCGCATTTATCGCTTTATAAGCGTAGTAATCATTTAATCACATCGAAATTGTGATAATCTGGGCCAAGACCGGCCAAAACCCAAGAGACTTATTGCATTTTCAATTCGATAATTTTTTATTGCTGCCTCAGATGCGATAATTTAAAGAAATTACATTATCCCTTTTATTGCAGCAAATTGTATGAAGCTTATCACATAAGAAATATCAGAGGTTAAACTGCACTTTGCTCACTTCACGTATCTTCAGTTCTTTGCACGCACTGGTATTTTCTAGTGATAAGTTTCATACAATTTGCTGCGATAAAAATGCTTATGTGATTCCTCCAAATTATCGCATCTGTGGCAGCAATAAAAAACTATCACATTAAAAATGCAATAAGTCAGTTAGGTTTTGGCCAGTCTGGGCCCAGATTAGCGCAGTTTTGGTGCGATTAAATGATTACTACGCTGATAAAGCGATAAATGCGCTAATGCAGTACAATAATTATTGCACTTTTAAGGCAATAACTTTTTGATGGTACTACTTATGCAATAAAAATGTTGTTGCTTTTTAAATTAGTTCATTATAACACATAGAAAATCAGTGCGTACTTTGCAGAATTTGCAATCTACATTTCTTGCCAGAACTTCTTGGCTTTAGACCTGATGATTATACACACTCATTTCAGGAACGTGGCATCAAGTTGAAATGAATGTGACAAAGTGTCACGTTCCTTTGAGCATTGTGTCGGATTCGTTCAAACGCAAATCAGCCACAAATTAGCTCATTCACGTAGTAACGAATGTGATACGATGCTCAAAGGAACGTGACATCTTGTCACATTCGTTTCAACGTGTTGTAATGTTGCTAACAATAACGTTATGATGCCTATTCGAGGGAGGCTATCTGGTTTCAGATTTAACGCTGAGAACGCGAACGCCACGAGTATAGCGTCAATCGGTACAATGCAAAAGCATTGCACAAGAAGTGCAATGCCTCCCCATTCCCATGCATTAGCATAGGGCATTTTCAGGACGCATTGCACGTAAGGTACACTATGACTGAGGCATTGCAGGTATGGTGCGATATCTCAGTGCATTTCACCGTACGTGCTATAATCATAGCGTTTGGAATCTCAGAAAAGGTACTTTTTGAAGCAAACCAAATTTTTGCTTCATGCCCATGGAACTGCCCTTCGAAGATCATCATCACAGAATTGTGACAAGCACTCACTTTTCGTATTGGGTTCTTCTTGACGTAGTTTGCTACCTTGATTACTTCACATACTTTCAAGATTTTGAGATCGAGATATGACAGTTACAAATTAATTTTGGACCTAAAATGCGAGTATATTTACATTTAAACAGACGTCATTTCAGCGCATCAAACATGTTTAATTTACCAAAGCAGAGAAACTGCGTTTGCTTCACTGCACTGCATCGTTCAGGTTTATTTTTCACAGCTGAGAAGCTGTTTTTCTGTATTTCTCTGCTAAATACTCTCAATTTGACATCACAGTGGCCTTCAGAGACTCCTGAAACTATCGGAACGACACCCAACTCGACTAGTGGCGGAGCCGTTCGAAATCCGAAGAATTTGGCCGCCATTATCCAAAATGGCGGCCATTTCCGGTACTTCCGGTGACCTCATCGTTGTTCTGACATCGCCAATGATTCCCCGACCTCGATTATGCGGAAAAACCCCTCGTCGCACGATTTTAACTGTCAAAATTGAAGCTTCGAAAATTTTGAACACTTTTAACCTTTAACGCCCCCGCATTTGAGTCCTAAGGGAAATTTTGACGTGTGCTTCGGGCCAAATCGACCATTTGGGTCAATAGAAGACGTGTGCAAAGTGGCTTGCTTGTAACCCAATTTGCAACGTGTTTTTGCTTTGTTACCCCCACTATGCAGCAGCAGGCAGCAGGGTGGCTGCGGGCCGGTGAGGCAGCGCCACGTAGCGGCCGCCGCGCTAACTACTGCCGCAACAATGCTACCGTGCGCCACGGCGCATCGCTTCTGCGCAGCGCGCCGCAGCGCGCCGAAGCAGACGCCGCTCAACAAAGCTTCATTTCTCATTTACTGACTCCTATTTCTCTCATCATCCTATGGAATTATGATCGGAACAGCATTTCCTATCGCCTCGTGCACTCTGATTTCTTTAATGTGGTCCTGTCGATAAACACAAGTTCCGTGCCGGCTGTCTGCAGGATTTAGCCTCCAACCCAAAGCCGACGGAGCTCAACAGGTTTTCAGTGTTTTTAACCGTGTATCAACGTTTTCGAAGAGAAATAATCCTTTCGAGACGGTTTTATATGATGAATGGAACCAACTTTTCTTTTCGGCGCGTTCAAAATCACTCGCAATTTCGCAATGAGAGTAACGCGTCCGGGAGGTTCGCTGTGATTCGTCTAAAATACCGATTTTTGGCCAATGAGCGAAAAGCGCGCGAAACCCCCTCCCCCGCCGGCGGGAGGAAAAGGGGAGGGGGTGGTGGATAAATTGAAGCGCGCCGGCCCGGAGCGGCACTTGTGTGCAAGATGAGCCGCTGGAGACCAATTCGCGAGATGTGGAAGGGCCGGGCCCTGGACGCCGAGCGCAACAGCTGCAGCAGCACTGACGACGACAATGACCACCCCATGGACGTCGACGTCATCGACTTGGATGTACTGGCAGAGGACTTGTTCATGGTGAGTAGAGTGCGTGATTCTCGTAGTGGTGAAGCTCTGCCTGTTTGTCCTCCCGGTGCGATAACCTCGCTCGGTAGAATTTTTCTAAGGCGGAAGCTATGCCCGATTTCGTATCGGTGCGTGGCCGCTCGACTCTCTGTAGAGCCGTAGCGTTTCCTCGCACCGTATTTTCTAATTCAAATCGGTAACCTCCAAAATTTATTTTCTCTTCCAGCTCTGTTGAGTCAGTTCCGTTTTCTTATCGCGGGTGTAGTGTTCGTTCAAACCGCGTCATGTTTTAACTTGTCTGCCTCGCCCGTGCCACGCCACGCCGTGCCGGGCAGGCCGTGTCCGTTACGTTCAAACCGTGTCATGTTTTAACTTGTCGCTGGACGCCCGGCCGGCGCGCTCTTCTCGGAATCGCGCCACGCCACGCCGTGTCATGGCTGGCTGTGCTGCCCGCGCCGCGCACTAAATTGAGTCCTTACGTCTCGTTCTTTATCTCCGTCATGCTCCCTGTGTCCTTGTCCCCGCCTCGTTTGTGGCGTTTTCGTGAGCGCGGGAAACGTTTCCCGCCGGCGGCCGGGCGCAGTCAGCTGACTGCTACGCCGGCTCGCTGTCTCTCTCGCACCTCAGGTTGGCTGGTGGCTTGCCGCTTGCGCCCCCTCCCTCACAGTGTACTGCGCTGCGCTCTGCAGCGCTGGGCCGGGCCAGGGTTCGAATCCCAGCCGTGTTTCGCGTCGCGCTCGGTATAGTATGTCTTCCTGGTGAGGTATAGTTCGTCCGTGTGGGTGGGTGGGAGTGACGCCGTCATGGGTCCCTGTCAACGTCTGTGTAAGTCGTCTGCCTTGCGCAGCCCATCAGTGCTTGCTTCTGAAATTCTCGCTAAAGCATGTGTTTTGCTTTCTTGAAGTTTTGAAGCTTTCCCTCATGATGTACGTTTCCACATGTATTCCATTTTATTGTGAATTCGGTTTGAATTCCATTTTTCTGTGCTAAAAAATGTGAATACAATTTGAATCGTACCCCGTGATTTCGCACGCCAATATCTGCGGCTCCACTGTGAACGGCCGGTAATGGCGCGCGATTTTCTTTATGCTTTGCCGTGAAACTAATCGATTCTTTACCCTTAATGGTTTCAGTCCTCATCGAGCTCCAGCGAGGAGGAGGAAATCGAGTCGCGCAAGTCGGCCCCTGAGCCATCTGCAGTGCCGCTACCGCCGGGTCAATGGTTGCCGCCCCTGCCTGCAGAGTCACCTCCGTCCCCGCCACCCCTGCCGGCAGGGTCACCACCGCCCCTGTCACCCCTGCATGCAGAGCCGGTGCAGCCGCTCCTCCCCGAGCTGCCCCTGCGCCTGGGGACGCCCCGCGTGGAGCCATGTGTAAGTCCATTTCATAGTAATCATTTCGGTGTACTTTTTACACCGTTGGCAAATCACGTTCCTTTAACTGCACTTTTGTTTTCGTCGAAACTGCAAGTAAGGGTTCGTGTTGCGAAAAGGATTTGGACTTGTAACTTACTGAATTGTTCCATGTGTTTCAGGAGGATCCGGAGAAGGAGAACTCACAACAGGCTGGCCCCTCTCGCCCCACACCTACATCTGCCACTGTCGAGGACGAAGGGGTGAGTGTCTGCATGTTTCACATCTCTTTTCTATCACTGTCCCCTTTTTTATGGTATTCTTTTCGAAAATTCCAGTCAGTGTTTTTACCGCCCTCGCCCCCACCGTCACCCCCACCTCCCCCACAGCCTGAGCCTCTGCCCCAATTCCCAGACGGGGTGGCCCCCGGCGGGGCTCACACTGTAAGCACTTTTCTAACTGACACGCCGTACCGCGTTCCCCCTCGTGCACGTACGCCACCTCAATGTGTCTTATTGGCGAGCGATAGCGAGCCCTTGCCGTGTTTGGGCGCTCCAAAAAGTGACTGGTCGTGAGTCTGTCTGTCCGTCTGTCCCTCTGTTCGTACACGCTCACGTTTCTCAGCGACTACAACAGGTATAGTTTCCTTACTTCGCATTTAGCGTCGTCTTACTTCCGCCCAACACGAGTTTGTTTCAAATCGCTGTTTAGTATCGTTTGAAATATTCAAAACATCTTTTTGAATCAGTTTATTAGCATGGTTAGGTTGGCAGCAGTTAGTTACCAATTTCTCATACCTGCGGCCGCGGCTCTCAAATACGGGACACAAGCAAATCAACAAATAAAACAAAATGAATAGCAGAACGATTTGGAAATGAGATCCACCTTAGTTTTTCAACATTCTAGAATGATTGAAACCCCTCCGGAGTGTCAACGCAGTGAAATACGGAAAATGAAAGTGACAATTATTACGCGTTTCGTCCGTCCATCCGCCCCCTCCCCTCCCCTGCTACAGGGGAAATGTTTTAGTCAGTGGAGTGTGTGTGTGTTTGATAATTGCAAGAATGATTTGGTCTTTGTAAGCTTTGAGAGTGTATTTCCATTTTCATTCTCAAACATTATTCTTTTTAGTTGTTTGCTTTGCTCAATAACAGTAAGAAAATAGATTAATACAATCCAAAAGTACAAACCAGACACTAATCTTGCCAAAATAAAAAGTCTTTGCTGACTCTTGGCACTGACTCTGGGAAAAGGCTTCATTGCAATGCTGTGAGTGACATCTGATTCAATGAGACGATTCAGTGACTTGGTCATATGATTTCATGAGACGATTCTTTTAACTTCATCATATATTGCCTGCGACAACTGGTAATTTGTGTCGGTCATGGTTTGAGTTTTTAATTTACTCAGAATGTTAGGTAAATACTTATGCTATACTGTTTCAAACATTAAATATCACATCATGAATTATCATTATGAATAAGATTAACTTGCGTTTAGCAATAAGTGGGCTCGACATTGGATTCTATGAAACGATTCATTGGATCTAGCAGAAGGTCTTCTCCGTAAAGTAGTTGCAATCAGCCTGCCTGTAAATGTGTCTCATTTTAATTAATTGAGATAAATCTAGTTTCATCCACTAGTTTAAAATAAAAGGTAGATAAAAGGCTTTATAGGTATTACAAATAACATTGCGTATTCATAAGTTCAATATTAAGGAGGTATCGAATGGTAATTGAAGCATTTGTGAATCGTACTAAGCAATTCAATGCTGACTGTTGAATGTTACTCGACTGAGTAACAGTGTCAGGGTTCATGTTACGACACCATGAACAAGAAACACACTTAGTATTTGTGTTCATGTTAACAACTGCAGGCCCATACTTTTAACTAGAATTATATGATTTTGGACCAGAATTTTCTCAGTGAGTCATTGTTTCCTGCAGTATTTGGTGTGCTGATCACAAAAATGACTTTTATTTTCACTTCAGACCTTTACTTTTCCCTAAACTTACCAATTTCGGACCAAATTTTTTAAGTCGAGTTTTACATAGTTTCCTGCAGTTTTTGGTGCGCTGATCACGAAAGTGACTTCCAATTTCATCCCAGACCTTTACTTTTCCCAAAAATTACCAATTTCGGACCAAAATTTTTAAGTCGAGTTTTACATAGTTTCCTGCAGTTTTTGGTGTGCTGATCACGAAAATGACTTCCAATTTCATCCCAGACCTTTACTTTTCCCAAAATTTACCAATTTCGGACCAAAATTTTCAAGTCGAGTTTTACATAGTTTCCTGCAGTTTTTGGTGTGCCGATCACGGAAATGACTTCCAATTTCATCCCAGACCTTTACTTTTCCAAATATTTACCATTTTCGGACCAAAATTCTATAGTCGAGTTTTTCACAGTTTCCTGCAGTGTTTGGTGTACTGATCACGAAAATGACTTCCAACTTCATCCCAGACCTTTACTTTTCCAAATATTTACCAATTTCGGACCGAAATTTTGAAGTTGAGTTTTACATAGTTTCCTGCAGTTTTCAGTTAGATAATCACGAAAATGACATTAATTCCGGCCCTTTCGTTACGGAAGACACTGTGTTGGCCTTATTCTCCAATCTTTGCCATCTCCTATAAGAATGTGTTCAGACGCATCGCTCGCCTACTACGCGCCCAAACTAAACGGCGCGTACCCCTAGTCATATTTTTGTTTGTCTGTTCTCAGGTACCAACTCCATGGTTGTGGAGCAATGCTGCCGACCCCCTGGGGCTGTTTGGTCCTGTCCCCGCTGCCTCGCTTCGCGGAGTCGCGGCCCGGGTGTCACAGTCAGCTGCTCGCGGGAGGCGTGACGGTGTCGTCCAACCTGTTCACGATGACCACGTGCCTGCACGGAAAAGGATTACGCCCCTTCGCCCACCAACTTTGCGTGTTGCTTCGCTTCACGCAGCACCCCCTGAAGCAGTTACGTCTGAACCTGCCTTCCCTGCGCCTGTACGACGTAGGGTCGCACATGTTCAACCCACAACCTCGCGTGATGAGCAGATCACTCCATCTGCGCCTGTCCTGCGTGACATCACCCCCGTTCAACCTCCGCGGGATGTGCAACCAACCGCACGTGTGACTGCCCAGCGTGTCAATGCGCCTGTTCGAGCCCCTGTTCGAGCCCCTGTTCAGCCTCCTCGAGGAGCTCACCGTGGTGTGCATATGCGCGGAGGGATGTTCCGAGGAGCTCATCATCGCGGTGGGATTCGCACACGGGGTGGACTGCCTTCTGTTTTGAACCGCTTGGGGCCACACCCAGGCTCCATGCCGATGATTGAAGGGGGTACTATGGCTTGTCCCTACCCCCACCTATGGCCGAGTTCGGAATGGCCTTTATATTTTACAGTGAGAGGTCCGCGACCAGGGTCCTATTGGTCATGGAGAGGACCAGTCGAGTAGGATTTGTCTACTGACATTTATCTGATTCTTTCAATGACTTTGTCATGTGAGTTTTGTCATTGCATTTCTTTGCATCTATCTGACTTTTCAATGACTTTGTCGTGTGAGTTTTGTCATTGCATTTCTTTGCATCTATCTGATTTTTCAATGAGTTTGTCGTGTGAGTTTCGTCATTGCATTTCTTTGCATCTATCTGATTTTTTTCATTGAATTTGTCGTGTGAGTTTTGTCATTGCTTTTCCTTGCAACTATCTGATTCTTGCAATCTCTTTTTCATGTGAGTTTTGTCAATGTATTTTTAAAAATCTGACGCATTACACTCATTTTTTCTTTCAAACTGTGTTTCTTTTCCTCGCTTCCTTTCCTAAACTTTTCTAACGAGACACATTTATGAGACCGAACTTCTCTACGAGTTAACTTTCTTTGAGTCAAACCTACTCTTGCTTTCAATTTCATTTTCTTATTCGCTTACTATACAACTTTTTCTGATTCACCTTTTCGACTCTGGCTGACACACTTAAAGCTTTTCCGAAGTAGAGTTACGCTTTCAGTAAAAGTATTCCATTCTCTAGCAGTAAAGAGAGAACACTTAACTTCTTGACACTTCAACTGAGAGAGACGAAAAGACAGTGAAAATACCAAACTTCTTTGCACTGAACTTCTTTGCACTTCAGCTTTGTGTGGGAGTGTGTGTGTGTGTGTGTGTATGTAGCGATAGAGGGAGGGACAGAGACACACTGTGGCCTGGGGGCGCCTTGTGGTCCATGGATAGGCAGACCCGCCACACAGTGGTGTGCGAAGGGTTGCCTACCCTCAACTCGGCAGGCGCTCCAGCAGTGCAGTACAAACGGTAGCGCCGTGCACAGCGCGGTGCACGGCGCGGTACTCTGCGGTTCATGGCATGTCCATAAGGAGCCCCACAGCATCCTGGCGCACACCATGGTCGTTGGCAGCGAGGTGCACCCGGAAGTCTGGAACAGAGCACAGCGAGCACGCCGTCGGCGAGGCGGCCGTCATGGTCGCGGTAGGGTGTCCGGAGCAGAGTCCCGGTGCGCATCGTCGGCGAGGTGCTCTGCAGCACGCCCGGGCCCTCGGCGCCCCCGCCAAGGCCGTCAACACAGCGCCGCGGCGCGTGGGCGTGCGCTGCGCCAAATGACTGAGTACTGGTCATGCACTCACTTTTATTGCAATGAGCTGCGCCAGTGGCGCCCTCTCAGCAATTTGGTGGTCAAATCCGGTACTTGGTCTGCGCATGCGCAATGCGGTGCGGCGCTGCGCTGCAGCGCCACGCGCGCCGCCTCGTGGACGAAACGGGAACTACTCGCTCCTGATAAAATACAAGCCGATTTCCAGAGCGGCACAGTCACCTGAGTTCGCTCCAAGCAACCAGTCCTCCTAAAGTATTTCCCTCTGTCTCTTCAAGACTTTAAACTTGTGCTTAGCCAAAAATGGCTCTTGATGAAATAATTGATGAGTATGAAGCCGGATGCTTCTACAATGACGAATTGATGGTCGAAGGATACTCAACACTCATAGAGTGCCTTCGCACGGCCACTCCCGCGGAACGCAGTGACCCCCGTCTGCCTGAATTTCTGAAGTCGGGTTATTTGGCTCTCCTTCGGGAAAAATCAAAGTCAAACAAGCTAGATGCTCAAATCCATCAAGCCGCACTTAAACTGGCCCGCCCTGCCCTGGACATGACCGGTGGCTCCAAGCCCACCCCGTCCCGCCTCCCCGCCGCCCGGCCCCGCGGAGTCACAGCCCACAGTGGCGCGAAACGCCAAAAAATGCGACATCGCGCGACTTAAAATAATTTTCCGATCTGTCTGCTTTTTTCACTGCATATGGTCATTTTATGATGTTCTCTAGCAAAAGAAATGATTTCCAAGTAATAGCTGGGCATATAGAGCTAAAAATCGCGAAAAGCATGAAAATATTGTACCAAAATCTGCCATTTTTTACACGTTTTTTGCCTGTAAAAGCGACATTTTTTCAAACGGGCAACTTTTCTCAACAGATTCTGAACGCCAAGGACAAGGCCTACAACTTTTGTTATGGTCGCAACGCTGTAGCGAGGTCGGCCATTCGACTTTTCTGGCCTCAAAGGTTTTTCTTTCGTAAATTTAATTGGAAAATTATTCCTATTTTGACAAATTTTGTTATTTTTGTGCCCCTGAGGTCTGTGTTGCCTCGTTACATCTATTTCCAGTTCATATAAACTTGATTGGATGAATTGATACTGGTTTGGACGTAAAACGGACCGCAGGGGCACAAAAATAACAAAATTTGTCAAAATAGGAATAATTTTCCAATTAAATTTACGAAAGAAAAACCTTTGAGGCCAGAAAAGTCGAATGGCCGACCTCGCTACAGCGTTGCGACCATAACAAAAGTTGTAGGCCTTGTCCTTGGCGTTCAGAATCTGTTGAGAAAAGTTGCCCGTTTGAAAAAATGTCGCTTTTACAGGCAAAAAACGTGTAAAAAATGGCAGATTTTGGTACAATATTTTCATGTTTTTCGCGATTTTTAGCTCTATATGCCCAGCTATTACTAGGAAATCATTTCTTTTGCTAGAGAACATCTGAAATGACCATACGCAGTGAAAAAAGCAGACAGATCGGAAAATTATTTTAAGTCGCACGATGTCGCATTTATTGGCGTTTCGCGCCACTGTGCAGCCCGCCCCGCGCCGCCCCGCTACGCCGCCCGGTACGCCCGACCGGAAGCGCGCTCGTTCGCCTGAACCGGAACCCACGCTGGAACCCGAACCGGAACCGGAGCCCGAACCGGAAGTCCAGCCGGAAATCGAAATCCTGCAAACCCGCGAACGGCATCTAAGTCGATTTAAAACCACATTTCGCGAGGAAACGGCAGTCATAAAAAATCTGGGAAACGAACTACCCTCTGAACAACTCATGGAGGGAATGTTCGATACTTTGCTTACCCGTCAGAGGAAAGCCCTGAATGCTATAGATGATGACCGAGTCATCATGGAATTGGAGAGCGGTGAAAATGTAGGCAAGCCCATCTGGCTGTCGTTGAGGCGTGTGGACCAACTCAATGGCAGAGTAATTCTTGACAAACTAGCAAGGGTGCTTAATAGCAATGAAAGTTTTTTGACTAACGGGCAGTTGAGGGTAAATTACATTCATGTCCCTACGCCACAGGCAGGCGGCGCACGCGATGTCCGCGTTGCGAATGAGAGAATAGACCAGTGGCTGGAGAGAAAAATAGCCAGAAAAACAATATTTTCTCCCAGCAACACGGAGGATCAAATGTGTTTGACTCGAGCATTGGCTGTGGCCATGGCCAAAGACGGAATGCAGCATAGAGCGTTCTCCCGCATGAGGCAGCGTAACTCTACCATCCCAAAGAAAGAGGCTCTGAAAATTTGTGAATTGGCGGGCATTGACCCGAATCAGCCATGCGGGGTAGACGAAGTCAAGAAAGTTCAAGATGCCCTCCCTAATTACAGACTCTGTGTTTTCGCAGATAAAAAAGGAAGAGAGTGTATCTTTAAGGGGGAGTACACTGTAAGTAGCAAAAACATCTACTTGTTGCTTCACAACGGTCACTTCCATGCCATTCTTTACCCCCTCCGCGCTTTCGATCTTGACTATATATGTGAAAAATGTGTGGTTTTCTACAGCCACAAAGGTGAACACCAATGTGAGGGTAGTTGCTGGCGGTGCCTCGGCGCGCAGCCTCACAGTGACCCCCTTCAGCGCTGCGGTGATTGTGGTCATAAATTTGCTGGAGATGAATGTTTTGACAACCATAAAAGTCTTAAAATTCAAAACACAGACAGGACCAAATGTGACACATTCAAATTCTGTCATGGATGTGAAACTAGTTATTCTAACGCCAGGGGGCGTCAACATGTCTGTGGCTTTGTGTACTGTAAATTTTGCAAACTTAACGTTGCCGAAAATCACCTTTGCTACATGCAAAAATGGCAGCCACGTGAAAAAAGGAGAAATATAATTTTTGCACAGTCTGGTATGACACAGAGGCATCTCAACATACCGAAATAAAACCGGGAGTATTTGAACACCGCCCCGCGCTCCTTGTCTCACAGGCTGTTTGTGACGAGTGTCAACACATTCAGCAAAATGATTATTTCTGCACAGTGTGCGGAACACGACAGCAAGTCTTCCATAACCTTGATGACCCTAATATTAATGTCATGTCCCAATTTGTAAATTATCTTCAGTCATTCCCAGCCAAGACTGAACTTCTCATCATTGCGCATAATGCCAAAGCTTATGATGGCATTTTTGTTCTTCAAGAGCTGATTGCTCGAAAAATGAAACCCGATCTGATTTTGCAAGGGGCTAAAATTATTTCCATGTCTCTAAATTCATGGAAATTTATTGACAGTCTGATGTTTATCTCCATGCCCCTTTCTGCTATGCCCAAAGCATTGGGTAATTCTTTCTCAAATCGCACGACCCCCGAAATCGATGTCTCGGATTCGGACCAAACTTGGTGGACTCATTGCTTGGGTCACCAAAACCAAGTTTCTGACCCCGAAAAATTTTTTTTTGCCCTAAAAAAATTTTTTTCCCCTAAAAGTGTTAAAAAATGGACCAAAAATCGAATTTTCGTTCAATTGACCCTACTTTGTGCAAAGTTGTTTTTTCAACGTCTTTTGATCTTATTTTATCCTATTTTATCCTATCCCACTCAGAAATGATTTTTAATACCACTAAAAACCATGAAAAATGACTAAATTTTAACGTTTTCTTAAATACCCAAAAAAAGCATCCGAATTTTTTCATGAAAATTTGTTTTTAAATTCATCTTTTGGTCCTCTAACATGTGTCAAAAAATTGGGAGAGTTAAATTTGAATTGCCTTTAAAATAATTTTTTTCCACTTTTTTCAAAGAAAATTTTCACTGAAATGACTCAATTTATCAAGTTTTCAGCAAGACTATTCAAGTCTCATGGCTCCTGGGTCCTCCTGGATGGGCAGGGATGTTGGAAATGTATTACTGAGTAGATAGTAGCTTCAAGATGTTTATTTTTAACAAGGTAGGTTTACGCCAGACCGCGTCTTGTCGTAACAGGCTTCGCGATGTCTCGCTGCCTGTTCCTCCAATCCACGCCTGGCGTACCTACCTTGGCCTGCGGCGCTAGCCTGCCTGCGGCAGGCAATGGCTTGT